GACCATTTACTTAAAGGTGATTTGGCAGATGGAGCTGACTCAAATAAAATTTTGTCTTCATATTTCATATACTCATTGCCATCATGCAGTTGAGGAAAAATATTTCCTGAGAATCTTGGGATTGCAAATGTTGGCATAAATGTGCAACTGTGAAAGCAAAGTCTGAGGTAGGGTGGGGGAACCTTACTATGCTAATAATAAAGAGTTCTTCATGAAATACACTGAAACAAATGAAAATCTTAATCTATGTCTTCTTGATTTTTGAAAATAATATGATGAATGCTATGGGCAAACTCTAATTTAGATATTGGGTAAAGCTACAGCTTTTTTTTTTTATTTGCAATAGCAGAATTAATCTAAGCCAAGCGATATAAGCCATTCTTTGCCTTCAAGCAACAAGTAAGCATGTATTTATTGGATTGATTTTGAATATACAGTTGTGAATAACGGTTTGTCATGAGTGTTTTCATTTGAATTTATTAAGAATGTCTATTGGCAGATTTCCACATCTCTATGAAATTTCCCCTTTTAAAAAAAGAATGATTCATGTCACAATTTGTCAACTCTCTCTTCATCTCACTTCTCCATAATTTCCTCCTCTCTTTTGCCATCTCCCTCTCTTTCATTCCCTTCTTGTTTCTACTTTACTCTCTAGGCCACTTCCTAAGAATCTAATTTCAGATTTCGAGTGGTCATATAACTTGTGCAGTAGGTTTTCAAATTCAGTTACCCTGAACTAGAAAACCGAAAGATTTTTAAAGTTCACATGCCTGGTTCTCTTGCTGGGGATATCTATAAACTCTTGGTTTGCTGTGTGTGATAGGTTGCTGAGCGCATTAGCATTCCAAACTGTTCTTTCAAGCTCATGGTCAATTGTGTGACAGCAATCATGACTGAAATTTGCCTAGCATTTGGTAAAGCACATCCCTATATGTCCTAACCTCATTTCATATACAAAAAAACTTTGTGTTGGGCCTGGCGCAGTGGCGCAGTGGTTAAGGTCCTCGCCTTGCACCCCCGGGATCCCATATGGGTGCCGGTTTTATCCCGGCAGCCCTGCTTCCCATCCAGCTCCCTGCCTGTGGCCCGGGAAAGCAGTCGAGGACGGCCCAAGGCTTTGGGTCCCTGCACCCACGCGGGAGACCCGGAAGAGGCTCCTGGCTTCAGACCGGCATAGCATCAGCCATTGTGCTCACTTGGGGAGTGAATCATTGGACGGAAGATCTTCCTCTCTGTCTCTCCTCTCTGTATATCTGCCTTTCCAATAAAAATAAAATAAATCTTAAACAAAAAAACTTTGTGTTTAATCAATATTAATTCTATTTTATAGAGAAGTTAAGTGATTATTTAATATAATGCCTTCACTAAATAATATTGGGCCTGGAAACTGGGTCACCTGATTCCAATTCTTATTTTCTTTTCAAAATATTATATAATTAACATTTACAAAATAATGTTTGAGAAACCGTATGCAGGGCTACATATGAGATCACATTATTAAGGAACAAATTTCTTCTTAAAAAAATCCCCAAAGAGACTTAGGATCAATGTACTTCACACAGACATTACAGATGCTCATAATATCTGGGGTTCCTTTGATACACACTTGAGATATGCATACTCCTTTGAAGTGTGTCTCAATTTTTGTGTGCAGGCTGATAGTGTTCTTAAATATTTAGTGAGTGATGTATTGATTCCCTTATGCTTAAATTTTGATAGTGTGAAGCAAAAGACTCATGGTAAAATAATTATAAACTTTTATTGGATGGAACTGCACTGATTTAAGAAACAATATCTTATCTAAGATGTTGCATAAAATGTCTTGCATTGATGAATCCTGTATAAGGAGTGTTGTTTCCCTGAAGAGTAAATGAAATTTCCCAGGACAGGGAAGTTTGTTTCTAAATTTACATAATTTCTTATGTTTCAGTTTTCCAAGGGGGTGACATTTATGACAAGTGTTTGTGATCTGTAATATGTGGTATTACGTTGTTTCTATATGACTTGCTATCAGGAAGACTTAAAAATTTCAGCATGAATTCTTGGAAGAATTCCAGCTGATGTAATATTCTTCTCTATGCCTTACGTAATCATTTCAAGCACATGGTCTTAGGTGGATTTTGTGTTCTAATGCTTACTCAAGGGTGTAGATTTGTACTGTCTTGTAAGCATTTTACAGAAACATCAGTAAATAGATGGAGGAAAACTTGACCTTCAACAATAAATCATTATCAGAAAAGATATTTCAGGAAAATTTGATCTGAAGTATTTCAGAAAGAATATAAAGCATACCCAAAATGTGAAAAGGAATAACAGAACAATAATAAGAGGAAATAACTCCAGACAAATCCATTCTTAAATTATTTCAGAATAAATTTAAAGCCATTAAGGAGGAAAATAAGGTAGGAAATAACATTAGGCAGATCTCTATCTAGGAATCAGAACATCTTCTTTTCCGGGAGCTGCCAGTGCCTCCGCTTGGCATCTCTAAAGAGTTATCTCAGCTTCTGCCTCTACTTTCTGCCATCAATGTCCTGCTCATTACCACTTCAGAGTGCAGGGCATCTCTTTATCCGAGTGTCAAATCTCAAGTCCCCCCTCTGCTTGAATACAACATAACACACAATTGCCTTTGTTGTAAAGGTGGTCCCACTAATACCCACAGCAGCTCACTACACCATTAGCCACCAGCTTTGGATACTTTTCATGGTCTTTGTACCCGGTACATAGTTCACCTGTCTTGCTCAATACACTAGATATTGTTAATCACTCCTTATGGAGCTATTTTTAGGGATCAAAGTTCTTTCAATGTCATTAGGCTTGAACAGTATTGATGACATCATAGCTTCCCTCCAAAAGTTGGTCCTTGGAACATCCTTCACTGCGTTCATAAAATGAATTTAGCATTTATTAACTGACGTTCATGAGGACACTGTATCTGTAAAATATGAATTGCACTGTGATACTTAATGTTGATTTTTTTCAATAAAGGGAATTTTTTTCTTTGTTCAAAACCTCACAACCTTAGAAATACTGCTGTTTAGGATGTGGTATTAGTTCCCCACTTAATCAGGACACTTCCATGATTATTAAGATGTTTACTACATGCAACATGAGCAACTTTTACTAAAAATATTCAGTCTTTTATTTCACTAAGGACTTGGTGAGTGAATAATGGAAGGAATAATAGACTGAATTTATTCTGTTTAACACTAGAGATTTACTATGTGTTCTTTTATAATGAATGGCTATTATAAGCCATTCATTAGGGGTGTGTGTGTGTGTGTGTGTGTGTGTGTGTCTTTTAAGAGTTCAGTCAGTTTCAATAATAGGTCAATTCATATAAGCAAACCCACTGTGGACTAAACAAGGCATTCTTTCATTTCTAGGGGCCCGATTCTTAGAATACTTTTGCTCTTAATGATGACTAGATTTTTTTTTTTAAGAGAAACATTAATTAGGCCATTTAGGCATCTGGTTAGTACAGGTCAAACATTCTAACACTACTGAGACGCAAATAAGTGAAAATATACTGCTTTTTCTTCAAACATGACCTGTGAATACCTGTTATATGGGCTATTCTGAGAACAAAGAGAACCAATCCAGTGATCTAATAGGAGGCATATTAAAAGATGCTCACACACTGCTAAAAACAAAAAATAGCAATTCCTAATTAGTAATAAGGAAAACCGAAACAAGGAAAAAAGCATAAAGCACTGAACTCACCACCTGCATCTCAGTGGGAAAAGGTACCCATGAACACCTCAGTAATTTAAATATACTTCATTTATCCAAGAAAAGCAAAAAGTGCATTTAAGTTGAAACCATTGCCTTTCCCTTGTTGGTGAGAAAAGCCTCCTGTTTCCTTAGCTTACACAGTTTATCTCACCATGGGTAATAGGTTCCCATTTGCTTTCTGTGTATAAAAATGTGAGATCAGATGACTGCTCTATTTCAGAGTTTTAATCTCCTCTTTTCAGAATGTCCATTATTGCTTATGATTACAGAAAAGATGTCAGAAGCCAAATAATCAAACAGACAGAATGCTTTATTACCAATGTCACAGTTGCAAAGATGTTTTCGCAAATAGTAAAATAATCCCAATCTTTAGGTGAGTGTGTTACAGATTTTTAGCCATTTTATTGCTGCTGAGGTAACTAACAAATATACCATAGTTTGCTTAATATCGCCCCGCAGATTTCCATTGTCATGGGCAAGAGTTCTAGGTTTCACTGGTGAGAATAACACAACTGGTTCTTATATCTGTGTTCCACAAATTTAGGAATCAGGATCAATGTCGTTGCCTCAGTTTAAGAAAATGACATTTTTGTTTTGGGAACATTAATGACGATTTATAAGACAATTTTATTTTGCTGGATCAAATAGGAATTTTTTTCTATAAATGATAAAAGTTGAAAAATTTACCTAATATCTTTTGAAATGCCAAAAGGGAATAAGATAAAGGAAGTATTACATATATGTATGTATATATATATATATAAAGTATTATACATATATACATATATATAGCACTAAGTGTTCCAATATTCTTTGACACAGTAGGGCACAAATTCCAATGACTAATTTTTTGGCAAAGGAGGGGTAATTTCTGCTTTCCAGGAAAACTCTGTGTTGTTTACAGTAGCCCTCCAAGGTGATTTGATTATGATTTTACAGGGCTTTTCACTTTTTATCATCTTAGATCTGTTTCACAACTGTGTAAGGTATAGATAACTAGCAGCAATGCAAAATGATTATGGTGTCCAGACATACAAATAAATTACATCTGAAGGAGATTCAGCTGCCTTTTCTCCCACACTATGGACAAAGACAGTTTTGCTTCTTTTCCTTCATTTCAATATTCCTGAATGCATGTATTTTCACATAACTTCATTTTGCAAATTAATGTTTTTACTGAGACCACCTGCAGGAACCACTCATTATATTCAAAGGAAACATTTCACAACACTCAAGAAATAAAAATATATTTTTATACTTACTGTTCCCCACCAGAGAGCATCTGCATATGTAGAAAATTCTTTGTTGGCATCCTTTTCCACCAGATAGACAAGGAAAGATGAAAAAATAAGAACCAAAAATCCTATGTACCAAGCTGTGATTAGCTCCTAGACATAAAAAAAAATGAAATATATTTAGAAATGAAAAAATCTTTGAAAAAAATTTTGAAAACTTAGAAAAATGAAAAACAAGTTTATGCATGATTTCATTCACTTTAATAGTTCTTGGATCTTTATGGTAATTTAAAAAATAATATTAAACACCATTACCCCAAGGTGGTACATCCAACTTTTGTAATGATTAAAGTTGACTTCTGACAGGTTAACCAAATATTGCAGCAAACAATGACCAAGTTTCAAAATTTTGTTCTAAAACTCAAAAAATCAATTTTTACCTTGCTGTGAGCATAAACCACTGAGCCTAATAATTTCCAAGTGCCTCCCCTTCGGTCCATGCGCACCATACGGAGGATCTGCAGGAAACGGAGACTTCTCAGTGCGGACGTGGCAAAAATATTTCCCTGAGTTTTTGCAGAAACAACTGCTATTGAAGCAATAAGAACAATGGTATCTGAAAGAAACAAATTGAAACAGCCATAAATAGCATGGCTAGAAATTTTTGCTTCTCAAAATAGTATTTCCAACAGGTTCATGTTGACATATTTGGGGACGCAACAGATATTGAGCCCCAGTCTTGATTAGTATTCCCTAGGCTTTGTGATGACCAGAGAATGAAAAGGCAGAAACCCGGACCCATTTCTTCACCACTCTGTGCTTTGTACTCTGCCATTCTGAATCACAGAGTATTCAGTCTTCAACAAACCGGACAATAGGCTTCTGAAAGTTCAGTGTTGCAGGGAACCTTGGGACTGTGGGACAGCTTTCCACAACAACATTTTACTTCATTGGCCTGTCTGTCAGTGAAGAGGAACCATTTTCTTCACCTCTAACACCGTGGCTTCCCGGGAGATGTCAGAGATGCAAGAAAGACTATCCAGCCATAAAAGTCTGTTATCTCCTTTACGCCAAATGTCCCCAATATGGAGTCTACAATTTTTTCATAATACTTAATAAAGCTAATAATTAATTTGAATATTGCACGCTATTGGTACAGAGTAGTCTTTCTACCTATCTGTCCAATACTTATGAATTTGGTGTATAGATTAAATAGCATTAATTTGTTACAATGAAGCATATTATTACAGACAGCTTATTGTGAGGGATCAGATATTTAATATTTGACATGTTGACACTGGCTAAGAAAATCTGCTTTTTTTTGTAAGAAAAACAAACAAAGAGCAGCTAATGAGAGCAGAGGAAAGATAAGACCAGACTCCATTCCCTGAGAGTAACACCCGAGTGATGGAAAGATGGTTTTGAAGCAAAAGAAGTGAAGTCAGATGATTGGCTTCTTGCAGCAATTTTTAAAAAATGTATTTCTGTATTGGAAAGTCAGATATACAGAGAAGAGGAGAGACAGAAGGAAGATCTTCCATCTGCTGATACTTTCCCCAAACAGGTGCATCAGCTAGAGCTGAGCTGATCCGAAACCAGGAGACCAGAATGTTTTTCAGGTCTCCCTCACGGGTGTAGGGTCCCAAGGCTTTGGGCTGTCCTCAACTGCTTTTTCTTTTGTTGCTGTTGTTTTATAAATATGATACAATTAATCACATTGCATCACGTGACACAGTTTCATAGGCTCTGGGATTCCCCCAACCGCTCCCCATACCCTCCTCCCATGGCAGATTCCTCCACCTTGTTGCTGTATTACATTTCAAATTCAGTCAAGATTCTTTCATTGCAAGAGTATACCAAGCATAGAGTCCAGCATCTTATTGTCCAGGTAAATTCAACAGTTTCTTGGGAGACCATCTCTGGTCTGAAAGCAGAGCTGGCAGAATATCATCCCGATCAATTTAAAGCCCCAATATAACATCAACATCAATTTACAACATTATGGAATTAATTGACATGGTATTGAGTAACCAATATGTTTTTAAAAATGCAAGTTCTTAACCACATCATGTGACTACTTCATTGACATTTCAGTTTTAGTTTATACACAGAACCGGCTGTTATATACCTTAAAATGGCTATAGGGTACTATTCAGCTGTCTCATGTCTATTTTCATTTTAGTATTTAGCAGTTTATAGTGTTGAAGCATAATTGTGCTGAACTTGGCAGATTTTAAGATCAAAAAATTGTAAAACCCAATATGCTTTCAAAATCCTGTGCTACTTGGAAATGGGGTGGGAGAGCAGAGAAATCTTCCATCTCCTTAGAAAGTGTGAGGAAGACGGGAAGTATAACCTATCAGGAACATAACAGGTAACTCATAGACAACAGATTCAAATCAACATTAGACAATAGTAAACTACAAAGACATATAGGGGGAATCAAGAGCGATCCTAACAACCTCATAACAGGAGGTCATATGCACAGAGCAGGGGTGGACCCCAGAGTGGAGCAGCGGGATAGGAGGAGGCTTCTATCCCAACCCTGAAGACTCCTGGATCCTCACCAAGGACTATCAGAACGGGCACCAAGGACTACATCCCAACTGCCAGAGACCACGGAGAACTGGAGTGCCTTCGGAGGCCAAGAACTCTGAGGTCATCAACCCCCATTTGGATCTACCACATGGGATGAAAGAAGCCCAAATTCTTCCTCGCAGGATCCAAGGTCATCGGAACGACAGCCAGGAGCCCTGAGCAGTCCGCAGAAACAGAAGAACAATAAACTTCCTTCGGAACTAGGGAGGGGAGCTTTTTTTTGTCCTTACTTATTTCCAACTTTGGATCCCCACCCTATCGTGCAATGACCATCAGGGTCGCTCCAGAGCCGCCCCCAATCCCTCCCCCCACCCCTCCACACATTAGAATAGATAGGCAGAGAACAACAAGGAAAATTTAGAACCAGACAGAAAATGGTCAGCATGGACTCACACATACCTTACTGGGTGGGACACAAAGATTAGTTATTCCTCACTAAGGTATTGAAGATTTCTCTGCACACCCTAAAACTGTTCTGCACGTCAATTGTTGACATATGCCTCTTTAAAGTTATAATCCAGTTTAGACTATCCTCAACTGCTTTTTCAGGCCACAAGCAGGGAGCTGGATGGGAAGCAGGTCTGCCGGGATTAGAACCAGAACCCACATGGGATACCAGTGCATACAAGGCGAGGACTTTAGCCACTAGGCTACTGTGCTGGGCCCATCTTACAGCAATTTTAATAAAAGGTAGTGACATTTCCTATGTTGCCTTTTGGTTCTTGCAAGTAGGAGAATATGGGCACACAATAATGAGGACATACTGTGGTCTCCCCCTTCCTTCTTGCTTCTCAACTCCTTTTGCAAAGCAACTTCTTTGATCCATGACAGCTCTTTGAACAGGAATCAGGGGAAAAAATTGCCATTTTTGTTGGAAAACAAGTGGTGGTTACTAGTGATGATAACCGTGTAGTTTGTATATGGAATTTGTGTTCCCTTCTTCTTAGTAAAATAACAGCTTCTCAGAGAAACAAGGATGACTTAGGTCATTCATTTAAATGACAGGAAGAGTATTTTGAGAAGTTGTCTCTCTGAAAAATGGATCAACTCTATGAATTCCTATAGCATACTGAACATGTTAGGAAATAAACATGGCGTGAATGCTTAATGCTTCTTCAGTGAAACAGATAAGTGAATGTGTGCTTACTTAGAATATGAATGTTTAACTTTATCATTTGGGTGATATATCAGCATCAGTTTCTTAACCAAGAAACCTGGTTCAGTTAGTTGCATGATCTTAAATTCTGAATTTTTAAAATTTAAGTTTCTGTTTTCTAGGTCAAGACACTGTTAATTTATGACATAAATAACATAAAGTTACAAAAATTGTTTGACATTGCCTTCTTACAGACAAAGAGATGGTAATGATATGGTCCTGCTAGATCTATAGTTGCTTTTATTTATTTGTAATCTTGCCTCCTCCAAAGTGTACAAAGAAAGAGACGAAGTATCTCATTTATTACATTAAAATATTTGAAACAGTAAACAAGTAAATGTCCAAGAAAGGTGCAAAAAAATAGCAATTAACACTTAACTACTATTTGTATTATTTTCTTTATATCTATTTTTAAATATTTATTTATTTTTGCAAACATTACCTCACTTGAGCCTTATGAAAGCATTTTAAAGGCCCCATTTAACAAGGGAAGAAAGTGAGATGCAAAAATTATATGTTGTACAATTATTTGAAAAAAAAAATCCCTGTTATATCACATTATAAAAGTACATTATAAAGTTAATTCATTGGAGAAAACCTGGAGAACGTAAAAAGAATGGAGATAATTTAAAAAATTATTCACATGGTGAACCATAATCTGAATGTCTGAAGCCACAAAATATGCAAAAGTAACCACAGATTTGATTTAATATCCTCCTTGTAATTCAGATCAGAAGAGAAAGTCAGAGTTCAGTAAAACGAAATCACAGATGAGCAACCAAATGACAAAAAGTGAATGCTACCGCAAAAATGTTTCTGGTTTGGTCACAGTCATCATCTGGAATTTTGCTATCAGTACAACCAAGGATATTTCTAAGGTAACCAAGGATATTTCTTAGAAGTTATGAGCATTATTTACTTCTATTTTTAATGTATATATTTATTATTTTATTAATGTTTGCATAGGGTTATACTATGGTTATGTTCATGCTCAACAATGTAACTCAAGTGCCTATGATAATACAGGAACATGAATTTAGAAAATTAATTTTGATTGGGCCCAGTGTGATAGCCTCATGGCTAAACCATCACCTTACATGCCTGTCATCCAATATGGACGGGGTTCATCTCCCAGCGGTTCTTCTTCCTGGCCAACTCCTTGCTTGTGGCCTGGGAAAGTAGTAGAGGATAGCAGAATTTGCCTTGGGACCCTGCACCCACATGAGAGACCTGAAAGAAGTTCCTGACTTCCGGTTTCGGATCAGATCAGCTTTGGCCATTGCTTTACTTGGGGAGTGAACCAGTGGATAGAACATCTGCCTTTCCAGTAAAATAAATAAATCTTAAAAAATAAACTTTGATGAATGAAAACCAAAAACTTTGTTATTTTGCCATACTGATGATTTAACAATTGGAATAGCAATCTGAACTAGTTTTGTTAACTAAAGGACTGACTCAGTACACAGCAATTTTAGTGCAATATACCAGTTGTAGCTAATACCCACTAAAGTTTATAAAAAATTGACTTGTTGAGATTTAGAATATAAACCTATGTATTGAATTGGGAGGTAGCTTAAGCTGTCACACTCACTTAAAATATTTTTTGACATATAAGTACCTTGTATTTGGTTGAGACATCTACATTTTAATACAGTCTCCAAAGTTCATTGGCTTCAGAATCATTTGTTTATCTACTAATGTTTAGCATTATATTAGACACTTGTATTGAAAATTCACTTTCATTTTATCCATTTGCCCATTTTCTTTTACATTATCACAGTGTTAAATGTTCTATACATAGCACTGGTTATTAATGGAGACAATTTTTCTTCCCTCCTAGGAGTCAACTTGGCAATGTCTGG